TGATGAGCAGAGGTGGGGGGTTCCACAATTTCCATCATTCTCATGGCAGTTTCTTTTGGCTTAGCTGAAGACTTTCCAGATTTGCTGATTGGGGATCTGTCTGGATTGTGCTGGGGGGCTTTGGAGCGGCAGCTCGATGTCCTTCTCTTCTGCACTTGAAACACCCCATTTGCTTCTTGGCTGTAGCCAATGGTTTCACTGGTTCGTGTGTCAACTCAGGCGGGGAGCAGCTCCATTGTTTTCCTCGGCGGTGCCTCTTCAATATGTCGATCTCTGCTTCCTCTGAGATGACATACCATTCCTCAAATTGGTGTGGGTCCCCTCGGGACAGGCAAGCGTCATATAGGTCATAATTTAGTCCGTCTTTGAAATGGCTACGGAGGATGTCTTCTGGCCAGTTCAGTTTGCTGGCAATGGCCCGGAATTCTTGTGTATATTCAGCCACTGGGTGTTTGCCTTGCCTCATCGTTTTTATCCTTTCGCGGGCTTTGCGATCAGCCAGGGGGTCTTCAAATCGCCTTCTCAGAGAGGACATGAAATGGTTGAAGTCGTTAAGCTCTGGGGCATTGGAGTCGTGCAAGTTCACCACCCAGTCTGCGGCCAGTCCGTCCAGGGCAGATTGCACGATCCAGATGCGGGCTTTGTCACTGGGGATGTCCCGCCCGTATTCCTCCATGTAGCTGAGGACTTGGGTTAGGAAAAACCCCAAGCGTGTTGGCTCCCCCTTGAATTTGATGTCCAGCAGCGGGAGTCTTTGAATGGACCGGTGCCTTTGTTGTCGGTGGTAGTGTGTTCCATCCAGATCGCCATCTGTGGTTCGGTAGGGGGTGGGGGCTACTGGATCAGCAGATGTCCCCGGGGCTGCAGGTTCCACTTCCCCCTCGGTGTCTCTCCCTTTGCGACTCCAGGAGCTGGGGCGGCCGTAGGGCTCAGGATTCTCCTCTTCTAGGGAGCGGAGAGTTCTCTTCATCAGGTCAATAGCTTTCTCTAGGATCCAGTCCGAGTACAATGCCCAGTTTTCTCCCTCTTCACTTGCGTGCAGGGATTTCTCCATCTCCTGCTTCCATTCTGGTTGCTTGGCCCCCTGTCTCAGGGTCACCTTTCTTGATTCCTTTCCCCACTCGCTTTTCTTTCCAACGCCCATTGACCAGCGAGGCTTGTGGTCCCGTGTCTCCACCACTTCTTCTCCTGAGGAATCTGACCTCTCGGATCCCAACATCCGGCAAGGTTCCAGTCGGGGCAGCGGCTCTCTTTCCAGGGAGTTTCCCCTCTTTCTTGCTCCATTGTCTGACATGGTAATTTTTTGCAAAATTCCCCGCAAGGGTCTCCCTTCCAGGTGGATTAATTTTGCAAGTCCTATCTAATGTAAGGACCCACCATCTTTCCAGCGGCAATCTCAGGCGTTACATTTCCACCCCCTTTTCTTCACTGCCAGTGCAAGGGAGACTTCAGAGAGGAGCAGATCAAAGCTGATGGCCCCATTGTTAGTCCTTTTGGTGAAATCCACATTCAATCCCCTTTGAAGCTATAGTGGCCATAAAGCCCCTTTGTTCACCCCCCTTCCCCTTCATCGTATGACAGAATCCAGAGAGGGCAGAAATGGGGTTTTCCATAATCAATAACTAGAGATGAAATATAATTGGATTCTGACATCGCCTATTGAGTATTGGAGAGACCAAATTGTCCTATAAAAAGGAGCAAGGAAGCACAGGAAGACAAAGCATTACATGGCCAGTACATTAAAAAAAATAGCAGGGAAAGCAGATAATAACAAGACCTGGCAATGGCTAAGAGCAGGAAAGTTGAAGAAAGAGTTAGAGGAGCTAATTCTGGCTGCACAACACCAAGCCTTAAGGAAAAATGCATACCAAGACAGAATTAAGAAGATAGCAACAGATAGCAAGTGCAGCCTCTGCAAAGAAGCTAAAGAAAGAATGGATCAGCTGCTTTGGTGCTGCAAGAAAATTATACAGACTCACTATAATGGCATGACAAAATCCAACAATAATGCATTGGAAGATCTGCAAAAAAACATCATTTGCCTGCAAGCAAGAACTGGTGGGACCATAATATAGAGAAAGTAATAGAAAATGAAGAAGTTCTCTGGGACTTTAGATTTCAAACAAATAGCCACCTGCCACATAATATCCCAGACTTAATTGTCAATAAGAATGAAAAAAATCTGAATAGTGGATGTGGTAGTACCTGGAGAGAGCAGAAAAGAAGAGAAGAAACTGGAGAAGATAGCAGAAAACAAAGATCTGCAAATAGAAACAGAACAACTGTGACAAAAGAAAGCAAAGATAGTACCAATAGTAATAGGTGCCTTGGAAGAAGTAACACTTGAACATTGATAAATTTACCATTAGCCAGTTGAAAAAACAGCTTTATTCAGAACAGCTTTCATCCTGCGGTAATATCTGTAACACTATCAAAAATCCACATCTGTCTATCCTAACTCCTTGGGAAGGACTCAATAGGTGGACAAAAATGCCCAATCCTGTCTGAACATCTGGCTGACTGTGCAAAGGACCATAATAATAATAAATTAATAATTACACAGTTTCAAAGAATCCTGGAAGAAAATTATTTTGATCCTTTTCAGTTAGGATTCAGGTCAGGTAATTTGCCATTGGTCATGGTATCTTTTGGACCAGCTTAACAGATTTGGCACTATTCTGGTGTGATTTCCTTCAGAACTGGTTTCAGTTTGGGAGACGGAGAAAGATCTAGCCCTAGGTTCCTTTTATACAAGATACCCAGAGAACTTCTATAATTATAAGTGAGAATAAACGTGGGAGACAGAGAAGACATTTTACAACCAGCATGTAAAATACATCTCATTCCACAGAAGGAGAGGAAGGGAAGTGCATTTCAAAAGGGACCCTCCTTAATTTTCCAAAGAATAAAATAAAATAAAGGGAGAACTATTTTCAGTCTTGCGGGATTCTGTTAATGTAAGCTTAACAAGTACTCTTGATTGCTGTTCTTGTCTGGACTACTTAACAGAGCTAACATCTCCCAACATACATTCCTATTTTTCCTACTCCATATGAAACCTCTGAAGGAGTTCATTTGTTAGCATGAAGTGAAGTAGCATCAGTATGCTGCTCATATTCATGTATGCATCTCCACCCCTAGCCAGATAAGTGATGCCATCAAAATGTTTATTTAGTCAATGCCAGGAGCTTATGAGGGTCTGGATAGGAAGAACAGGTTTGTGATTCAATCCTAGCAAGACTGAACAGGTTTTTTGACCCCCTGGAAGATTTTTTATTTTTTATTCTCAGTGGGTTAGCATTTGCATATGAACGCATACACCCACACCTTCAAAAGAGAACAATCAAAGACTCACAGCTCTTGACTGAAGAGCAGTTAGCAGCCATACCTGACTGGTTCACTGTCATTCATTGCTCACATACCAATTGAATTACTGTGAGGGGGCTGCCCTTGAAAAACAGCCAGCAGATTTTTCTGAAGAATACATTGGCACATGCAGTTCTAAAACACCAAGGTCCATCCAGCTTACAGTATTGTTGCACAAGCTGCATTGGAACCCAGTCTGCTTCAGTGTGCAATTCAAGTTTGGCCTGGCATACACAAGATTGTCAGATCATTTATTCCTGAGGGTGTCTGCCTGTCCTACCAAATTGGATAAAGCAGTGATTCTCAACCTGTGGGTCGGGACCCCATTTGGGGTCAAACGACCATTTCACGGGGGTCGCCAAACAAGGCTGTCCGCCATTTTTCCCCCTTTTCTTTGGCCACACCCCTGGCACCTGGTGATGTATAAGTGGTTGGGGGTCACCACAACATGGGGAACTGTATTATGGGGTCGCGGCATTAGAAAGGTTGAGAACCACTGGGATAAAGCAAGTGAATGCCAGGACCCTTCTGTTAAATATCATCCTGCAAGACTAAGAAGTTCACGCCTTGTCTGTAGCAGTGCCTGCCCTATGGAATATTTTGTTCCCAAGATCTGAAGGGTGGATGTTCTGATCTATCTGGCCTTTGGGAAAACTGAATATCTGGCTTTTCATGTAGGTGCTGGGTCAGGATGTTTTATATATATATATATATATATATATATATATATATATATATATATATATATATATATATATATATATTTATGAGACTTATATACCGCTTTAAGTGCAAGCACTCTCTAAGCCAGTGTTTCTCAACCTTGACCATTTTAAGGCATGTGGACTTCAACTCCCAGAATTCCATTGCTGGCTGTGGAATTCTGGGAGTTGAAGTCCACATGCCTTAAAATGGTCAAGGTTGAAAAACACTGCTCTAAGCGGTGTACACCAGTAAGCAATGTATGTATGTATGTATGTATGTATGTATGTATGTATGTATGTATGTATATATATATATATGTAGGTCTTTGGTTGTTCGGGTTTTCTAGATACATACCTATATATATATATATATATATATATATATATATATATATATATATATATATATATATTTACATTGCCCCCAACAATCTGGGTCCTCATTTTACCTACCCCGGAAGGATGGAAGGCTGAGTCAACCTTGAGCCAGTGAGATTTGAACCGCTGACCTGCTGAACACAAGTCAGTTAAAGTGGCCTGCACTCTAACTGCTGCGCCACCTCGGCTCTTATCATATATTAGCTCAATATGTGTGATTTGTATGGTTAGATTTGTTATAAATCGATTATTGTATTATGATCATTTACTTGTTTCATAGTAGCTTTATTATATTGGCTTTTGCTAATCAATATCTCTTAAAGATAAGCAACCATATACATTTTCTAAATTAAATAAACTAATCCCTTTCTTCCATACAATATTATATAAATTAGTTATCTAATTCAAAGAAATGAAGTTCTTACTTAGGACAGTTCATAAGCACAGAATATCATATTGCATAATAAAAAAAAGCAAACCAATTTTCTTCCAGTAAAACAAAGACGTGTTGACAACTTTGTAACTGGATTTCCACAACACAGGTTAACCAACCTCCCTGGTCCCACGCAATGAGCTCACAGAAGTCATGATGTGTACAGGTTGTATCCGGCGTTGTTTCCATTCTTGATTTAAGATTTCCGTTCTTTCTTGTATCTTCTGACGATTACAATTAAACATGCTCTGGAAATAAATGGTAGAAACAGAGACTATATCCACAAACAGTTTTTTAATTATCTGGACTGCTAAAATAATATCCATCTCACTGTTAAACATTAGTATTTTCACAAAAGCGTATCCACTACAGTATATGTATCATAAATATTTATATACAGTAATATAATTTAGTTTTTAAAATATATTTAGTTATATAGTTATAATTTCTCCCACCATGATCCTGAGTGTGCCTGACAATATATATGTAGTCCTCAACTTACGACAATTGAGCCTGCAATTTCTGTTGCTAAGCAAGGCAGTTATTAAATGAATTGTGCCTCATTTTACAATCTTTTTTGCCAAAGTTGATAAGAGAATTATTAATCATTAAGTGAATCTGGGTTTTCCCCACTGACTTTGGTTGTCAGAAGATGCCTGGGAAGGTAACAAATGGTGATGACATGACACTGGGAAATGCAACTGTCATAAATAAATGCCCATTGCCAAGCATCTGAATTTTGATTACGTGACCGTAGAGATGCTGCAATAGTCATAGGTGTGAAAAATAAATAATAATAAATCACTTTTTCAGCGCTTTGTAATTTTGAATAGTCACTAGATCTATTAATATGTAACAACATTCAAATATCTCAAAAATGGCTAATTAAAATCTAAAAACCTGTTTCAGACAAAACAAGGTCAATCAAGCTATAAAATATTCTATTATATATTATTATCTACATTACCATACAGCAGAATGCCAACACTATAGGCCAGGGCTTTTCAATCGGTGCTACGCGTACCACCTGTGGTACTTTGCCATGTGGCAAGTGGTACGCAACCATCCTGGAGAAGTGTAGCAGGGGAGAGGAATGAGCCGAAGCGACACAAGCCTGAGAGAGAGGCAACTGCAGTTTATGTGTTTCTTTATTTTGTAAGTTTTTCTTGCTTTGCCCTTAATTCCTATGCCTTTAAGGGTAAAGGGAAGGGATTGGGGGGGTGCATTCTTACTACACTGTGGAAGGAGAGCTCAGAAAGGAGAGGAAGAAGGGCTGACCAGCTAGCTCAGGGGTCTACAAATTTAGCAACTTTAAGATCTGAATTCTTTAAGATCTGAACTCCCAGAATTCCTCAACCAGCCATGTTGGCTGAGGAATTCTGGGGGTTGAAGTCCACAAGTCTTAAAAGTGACAAGTTTGAAGACCCCTGAGCTAGTTGGCAGTGGTACATATTAATAAACATGGATAAATTCATCATACATTTGTCAGTGCAAAGGGAAAGTGATTCGGCAAAGGAACAGCCATCGAAGAAATTAAAACTGGTAGTTTTTTCCTTTTTTTCTACAGTTTATAATATTTTATTAGATTATAGAATAAAATACAAAAATACAAAAACAAATAGTAGGACACAGTGGGAAGGAAAAAGTGAGGGGGAGAAGAGAAAAAGAACAGACTTCCTCTGTTGCAGTAGAAGGAAGCATTAACACCGAACCTCAACTTTTTACTTTTCCATAATATTATAAACTAGCCATTTCTATAACAACAAATGAATCTAATTGGTAAAACCCAAAATCCCCCCTTTTTTAGTCATCAGGTTTTTGACACCTTGCTAAGCACTGGTGGTACTCAAATATAGTCATTTCCTAAAAAGTGGTACAATCTGTGAAAAGGTTGAAAAGCCCTGCTATAGGCATCAAAATCAAAGAATTGCAATGGGATTGAAGGGTGTCGAGGTAAATATTTTGCACAACCTTTAAGAGTATCTTAAGAGAACAATGAATGGATATAAACTAATGGGAATCCATATTAATTAATTATAATGAACTGAAATAGAATGAAATCTTAAAAGCTGGCATCTTCTACTATCATCTTTCTTAGTCTATATTGCTAGTCTCAGATTCTGAATTTAAGGTACAAATAACTGAGAGGAAGAAAAAGAAGCTGTTCATAGAAAAGGCCTTGAAAGTTATTATGTACGTGCAGAAGTGCTTTTAATTTTGCACATAATAAATGAAGAACATTGAACTCATATATTTATTAGTCAAAAATATTCCTATTGAGTGAAATTAAACCAACAATTTAATATCATAAATCATTCTACTACACTACCAATTTGTAATTTTTCAAGCAACTATTTTAATTACAATTTTCAGAATATATTTAAAACTATTGTGGGGTTATTATATTCTGCATATAAATCGGTCAAGATCACATGTGATTTTACATCACATGTGATCTTGACCGATTTATATGCAGAATATAATAACCACACAATAATAGTTTTAAATATATTCTGAAAATATATTTAAAACTATTATTGTGTGGTTATTATATTCTGCATATAAATTGGTCAAGATTTATATGCAGAATATAATAACCACACAATAATAGTTTTAAATATATTTTCAGAATATATTTAAAACTATTATTGTGTGGTTATTATATTCTGCATATAAATCGGTAAAGATCACATTTGATGTAAAATTGTATAAAAATAATTATGAAACATTATGGACTAAAGTGCAGAAGGATCTGAATGATTGGAAAAAATTATAATTATCTTTGTTAGGGAGAATTTCTGCTGTTAAGATGAATGTTCTACCAAAATTTCTTTTTCTGTTTCAGATGATACTTATTTTGAAGAAAGATGTTAATTTAGATGAATGGCAGAAGAGTATTAATAAATTTATTTGGGCAGGGAAAAAACCAAGAGTTAAGCTTAAGATTATACAAGATGTACGAGAAAGAGGAGGACTTAAGATGCCTAATTTGAAACTGTATTATGATGCTGCGGCTTTAACTTTGAGTAAGCGATTGGATTAACTTAACAAATCAAAATATACTTTCTTTGGAGGAATGGGATTTATTATATGGATGGCATGCATATTTAATTTATAACAAGAAACTAGATAGGGCTTTTAAATTGCATATTTTAAGAATTGCTTTATTGCGTGTCTGGAAGAAATATTATTATAGATTAAATTATAAAATGCCAATTTGGGGGATTCCTGGACACGCAGTAGAGGGGATATCGAGAGGTGTGAAGTTGGATAGGACTTCTTATAATCAATTGCTTAAATTGGAAGGGAAGGATTGGCAGTTAAAATCGTTAGATGAATTAAGGCAAGATAATATTGTTTACTCTTAGTTTCAGTATAGACAATTGTTAGATAGATGGAGTTTAGACCAAAAAGTTGGTATTACTTTAGAAGATGAGAATTTGATAAAACAAATTAGAGATCAAAGTCGAGCTCATATAAAGAGAGTTTACAATGTATTAATGGAAATGGATTCAGAGACGGAATTAGTCAAAGATTGTATGATAAAATGGGCCCAAAATTTTCAAGAGCCGATTTTACTAGATACATGGGAAGCAATTTGGGTTGGGAAGTTTACTCAGGCTCAAAATTTACGAGAAATTTTTTATAAAATGTTTTATAACATTTGTGGCATTTGGATCCACAAAAATTGTCTAGCATGTATCCTAATTTACAGCCTAAGTGTTGGAGATGTGGTTGCTTAGATGCAATCTATTATCATATTTGGTGGACGTGTAGAAATATAAAAGCTTTTTGGATTAAGATTTAGTGGAACATTCAGAAGATTTTTAATAGAAAGATAAAGTTTACAACACAATTGTTTTTGTTAGGTATTATTGAAGATTGTGATGTTAAAGAAACTATTTTAATGTTGAATCTTATTACAACAGCAAGGCTATTGGTTGGGCAATATTGGAGGAAAGATTCTTTGCCTACCATAGAAGAATGGTCATTTAAAGTTTCTAATTTAGCAGAAATAGCCAAAATTTCTGCCTATTTGAAGGATCATTCACAAGAAAGATACATCTCGGTGTGGAGAAGATGGATAAATTTTGTACAGAATAAATATGGGATTAATATAATTAATATTATTATAATTAATATTAATATAATTATAATTAATTATATAATTAATTAAATATCATTTAGTTTTTGATTAACTTATAGTTTAAACTGGGAGTTATTTGTATTTGAGTTAAAGTATTTTAGGGATTTGGTTATTGGTATAGTTGGATAAGCTTAGTTAGAATTTGTTTGCTTATTTTTAACCCTGTAATCTGGGAAGTGAGGGGGGAGGGTTGGGGTGGGGGGAGAGGGAGGGAGGGTTATTGTATTGTAATAATAAATTTGTATAAAACTTTTCAATTTAAAAAAAAGATCACATGTGATTGATATTAATGTAACTTCTCATCAAACTGATTTTTTGAACAGAATTAGAAGTAGTCAATTTTGTATGATTTGGAAAATCAATTCTATTGGAAGATTTACCTAACTTGCCTTCAAATTAATCATCAAATTGAATTTTTGCAGTTAAATTTGAGAAGACCCTGTGTCTTACTTACTCAATGCTTATAAGTAGTGGCACTTGAAATGGGATCCCAAGAACCATACTAATTTCACGCACTCAAAAACTGTCTTATGCTTATATTTTTTTCCAGCAACAATCTTCTCACACACAACTAGCCAATTCAAAAACTAAAGAAAATTTCAATAGGAGTTTGCAACATGATATGGCTGATTCTATGTAAAATAAAAAAAATATCATATAGTAGTCATTCTGCTACTAAAACTCCAAACTATATGCTAAGAAAGATTAAAATTATGCATTTTGAATATATATGCATATAAATATCTTTATGGTAACAATTTTTAGAATCTATCTGAGACAAAAATATCAAATGGAAACCAGTTAAATAGCTATACCAGGAACAATTGCTAAGACAGGCTTATCTACAGGCTTATGTACCTGAACTGCAACCTAAATGTTGGAGATGTGGTTGCTTGGATGCAACCTATTTTCATGTTTGGTGGACTTGTAAAAATATTAAAGCCTTCTGGATTATGATTTGGTGGAACATTCAAAAGGTTTTTAAAAGGAAGATTAAGTTTACTCCCCAGTTATTTCTTTGGGGTATTTTTGTGGATTTTGATGTTAAAGAAACTATTTTAATGTTGAATTTAATAACAGCAGCAAGATTATTGGTGGGTCAATATTGGAAGAAGGATACTCTGCCTTCTTTAGAAGAATGGGTATTTAAGATTTCTAACTTAGCAGAAATGGCCAAAATTTCTGCTTATTTAAAGGACCATTCACAAGAGAGATATTTCAATGTATGGAGAAGATGGATAGAATATGTTCAGAAGAAGTATGGAACTACAAAGTTTCATTTATTTTATAAGTAATGAATTTTTTATAAACTTATGATGTTAAAGTTTGAAGAGAGTTAAGGGTTAGTATGATTTTGGTTTTTGTATAATTATTAAACTTAAATAGATTATGTTTAGTATATTTGTATAACCCTGAATTTAGCTCTGGGAAGTCAGGGGAGAGGAGGGAGGGGGGGAGGATGAGTTGAAATTTTAGTAATTCAGATAAGTAGAAATAGTTTTTATTGTATATAATATTGAGGTTCCAATTTGGAGAGAGGAATTGCTCGGGCATTTCCCCCGGACCGCATCCAGAGTGAGAGGATAGAAGAAGGTGAGAAGTAAGCGTATAAGAGACTGGGCGTATAAGACAACCCCCAACTTTTCCTGTTAAAATATAGAGTTTGGGCTATACTCACCGTATAAGACTACCCCTCTTCCAACGCATACCAAATAAAAATTAAAAAACATCAGATTTGATTTCAATATGGTAATTTTAATTCAAATGCTTATGACATGCAGTTACTTAGCAGAAAAACTGTCACTTATAAACATACGGCTGTCATCAAACATGTAAACATAAAACAGTGCAAGTGGATTAAACTTTTCCTAATTCACTCTAAAGCTGAAAGGAAGGATAAGACAATAAACCCATAGGAGCTGCCATACTGTTTGTTTTCTAAGCTGTCAACCAAACTGGAACTGATGATGATAGGAGAAAGATAACAAACAATAGAAAGAGCAAGTGCCGGGCAAGTCCCTGGCGAGTCAGCAACGCCCATCATAACTGCAAGCTATTTTTACAGGTTTTGCTTGCATGACAGTTTCCCTTTAAAAGCCTTCAAAATCATCCTGTTCATCATCTGATATCATAAAAATATCAATGACATCTTGTGGTACATTTGTAAGGCAGTCGTCGTATGGATCGAATTCCGTATCAGATGGTGTGGTCTCAGCTTCGGCTTCCTCTTCATCTTGCCACAAGTAGTCATCCTCCATACCATCTAATGAATTTGATATGCCACACTTCTTGAAAGACTTGATTACTGTTTCTGCATCAATATCATTCCAGGCTTTTATGACAAACTTGCACAAAACATCCAACTGTGGAGCATGCATGTTTCCTCCTTTTGTGAATGACTTTTCGCTGCTAACCATCCATTCATTCCACTGTTCTCGAATGTGATCTTTAAATGGCTTGTTTAGGCACATATCCAGTGGCTGTACCAACGATGTCAATCCTGCAGGAATAACTGCCGCATCTGTGTTTATTCTTGCAAGCCTTTGCTTGGTGCTGGGAGTTAAATGAGCCCTGAACATATCCCACACCAGTAGACTACGTTTTTGAAAAAGTCCACCTAGTCGCCTGCTCCATACATTATCAAGCCATAGCTTTACCCTTCTTCATCCATCCAGCCTTTTTCATTCACATGTACAAAACAACCAACAGGGAACTTAAGTTTCGGCATTGTTTTTCTTTTAAAAATAATCATTGGTCTCAGTTTGGCACCATCAGCTGTGCATCCTAGTACCACTGTAAAACTGGACTTCTCATGTCCTGTTGTTTTAATTAAAATTGTTTTTTCACCTTTTTGATGGACAGTTTTATTTCCAACCATATCAAAATTCATTGGAGTTTCATCCATATTTCCAATAATACTTAACGCATTAAGTATGTTGTATTACATATCGATGGAAACTAATTACTTTGTTATCAAGATCTGCAGGTAATTTGTGTGCAATTTTTGTCTTTTGCCTCAGTATCATATTATGCCTTTTCAAGAATCTAGTACACCAAGATACAGTGGCCTTAAATCTGTTGCTGTGATCTGGGTTAGATTTGGCCCACTGAAGTGCAAACAAACATATTTTATTTCGTGTCACTACATAACCATTTTGGCGATGCTCATTCACCATGTCTGCTACATGTTTTTCGAGTTCTGGCCAATGTGGCGTGCCTCTTCTTAATGCACACTTACCCCTTGCCATACTCTTTAAAGCTTTTTCATTTGCTTTCCAGTCCCAAACCATCTTTTCTGTTACTCCATATTGTCTTGCAGCAGCGCAGTTATTATGTTCCATGGCAAAGTTTACAACTTTAAGTTTGAAACTGGCTTCATATTTCCTTCTTCTTGCTGGTGGAGCCATGATGGTGTCTTAACTGTTGGACATTTGTATACTGTACTGTATGTACTGGTGCTCTACCATATGAACTGGTACAGATACTGGTGCTGTACTGTACCGATATGTACCCAGTATACAACAACCAGCCAATCATGGCAAGCGATGTACCTTACTGGTGATTGGCTGGTTGTTGTATACAAAGCCTGATTGGATTGGGTGGGTCAGCTCTCCCTGCCTGCCCAGCCCTCCCTGTCGTCTTATATGCCCTAGGGAAAAAAATGGACAAGCTAATAGACCCTTTCGCTGAAGAAGGGGAGGGAGGGAGGAAAGGGAGCGAAGTTTTCTGAGTTCTCATTGGCCATCTGTATAGTATTCTCTCCTCCGAGGCGCCCTTTTATGCCAGTGCTGAGCTCAGGGTGTGTGTGTGCGCATGGCATGCATGCGACTCCCCAGGTCCCTTCCGTTGCCCCCCCCCAGCAAGCTCTGGCTTGGAGCAAGCGGGCTGCGCACCGGGATCTCCGGAGATGGGATCTCCTCCTCTCGGTTTTCCACCCCACGAATACTAGCCAGTTTCAGGCTTGTATTTACTGCAACTCTCTCTCTTTACTGCAACTCTGGCTTGGAGCAAGTGGGCTATGCACCAGGATCTCCGGAGATGGGATCTCCTCCTCTCGGTCTTCCACCCCGTGAATCCTCCACAGCCTCGCTTGCCAAAAGCTGGAATGGGGCTGCGTCTCATGGCTGATTTCAGGCTAGTATTTACTGCGACTCTCTCGCCCCCCCCCCCGCCCGTCTTTTTGACATATACACGTGCGTGCACGCGCGCACACACACACACACACACCTCCTTTCCTTCCTCCCTCTCCCTCCAATCCTTCCCCCCCACCCCGATTTCCAGCTTGGAAAGTGCAAAGCAGCGAGGAGACAGATTGAGTTTTGTCACTAATTTCTCAGGGTGAACATTTACCAGCCTGTGACTTCAAGATAGCAAAAAGCAGCTGCAAACCACATGCCTGCTAGAGGTGAGCCGCAGGGACGGATGGCTGAAACAAACAGCTTAGCGTTTAATTGCTCTCCCCATCGCTACTCTACCAATCAAGGACTCTTTTTGAGCGAGGGGGGGAGAGAAAACTTGATGAGTAATATGCCAAACCACATTTGTAAAGGAATAAAAGAGAATACCCCTATTTTCCGGCGTATAAGACGACCCCCAACTTTTGAGAAGATTTTTGTGGCTTAGAAAGTCGTCTTATACGCCAGAAAATACGGTAAGTAGGAAGGTGGAGGAGAGGGGGTGAGGGAGAAAGAGAAAGAAGAGGGAAAGAGGCAAGTTGGTTAGAGGGTGGATGCAGTTTGGGGGGAAATGGGTGAGCAATACCGAAAATGGTGTGTATTAATTTGTTTTATTTTTTATCTGAAGTATTTTTAAGATTGTATTGTATTGCAAAATTGAAAATAAAAATCTTTTACAAAAAAAAAAAAAGACAGGCTTATCTCATTATTTAATGCTGATATTGTGGGTTTCCTTCAGAATCAGCATATTTTAGTTTAAAAAGCAACAAAAAAACCTAGAAATATTCTTTGGTTTGTATCTTTGGAATTAGAAATTAATTACCTTTACTTCATCTGCTCGTCTGAACCTCTTGAGCTGTCTAAGCCTCATATATTCTGATTTTACACGCTTCCTCCAACAAATTGGTCCTTTCTCAGACTTCTTTCCAGTCTGACCCATAGTTACACCTGAAACGAACAAAATGTAGATGTGACATCAAACACAATCAGTATTCTATATTGACATGCATGTCGGACATTGATTATGTAAGAATGTTTATATAAGTAAAAATAAACTTATACTTATGGACATAACTTATCAATTGGAAAATTCTTTTCCTTGTTGGAAATTCAAATCATACATTGTTCATATCCCCCAGCAAAACAGTTACTCCATTCTAATGATACTGGATTCAAGACGCTATGTTAATAGCAGATAGTTTTGATAGCTGCTATTTGTAATTTCAAATACTATCAATAAATGAATCATTTATCTCTTGCTATTAGATAAGGGCTGGTCAAAAGATAGGTTAAAAAGTGCAATTTCTAGTCATGAAAAATAATTTAAACATCCCATTAACTATAGTTATAGATCATAGGCAAGGGGCAGGAATAAAAGTATCATTAGCAGTCATGGACATAAATTTTCACTCTGCAATTACTATTATCTCATTAATTATCTCCAATTAATTGTATCTGAATTTCATATTTAGAAGAATCCCACTTCCCCCATTGAAGTTATCTGGGAAGATTACAAGTGGTGATCATGTGCCTCCAGGATGTTGCAACTGTTGCAAATACATGCTGAATTTTGATCATGGTTAAGTGATAAAAATTCAAGTACCTGAATTTTGACCACATGCCCATGGGGATGTTGTGACAGCCATAAATGTAAGGGTTAATTATAAATCACCATGTTCAATGCCACTGTAACTTCAAACAGTCACTAAATAAATGATCAATGAATACTTGTGTGCCTGTGTCTGTTTGTGCAATACCTCACAGCAATTGTCTTTTACCCAGGACTGAGATTCTTCCTACAGCTTTTGATACCAAGGATCAATAATTTTGTAACCTCTGGGTGCCAGGGGAGACAATCTCTTTACCAGTTGGAGGCTGACTAACAGTATTATTAAGAGCACAAAAGATCCATTATTTTTTTAAAAAAGCACATCTTTCAGAATCAGAATCAAAATCAAGCTGGAAGAGACTTTGGAGGTCTTCTAGTCCAACCCCCTGCTCAAGCAGGAGACCTTATATAGTTTGAGACAAGTGGCTGTCCAGTCTTTTTAAAAACCTCGTAGTGAACCATCCAGAACTTCTGAAGGCAAGCTGTTCCACTGGTTAATTGTTCTCACTGTTAGGAAGTTTTTCCTTAATTCTAGGTTGCTTTTCTCCTTGATTAGTTTCCACCTATTGTTTGTCTTGCCTTCTAGTGCTTTGGGAAATAAGTTGATCCCTCTTTTTTGTGGCAGACCCTCAAATACTGCTATCATGTCATCCCTAGTCCTTCTTTTCTCTACACTAGCCATACCCAGTTTCTGCAACCATTCTATATGTTTTAATCTCCAGGCCTTTAGTCATCTTAACGTGTTTCCCTGAAAGTAAGACCTACCCCAAAAATAAGCCCTAGCTTGATTATTGGGGGTGGGGTTAGGCACACACCTAAAAATCAAACTAGGGTGGGTTGGGGTATGGATCTGCTCCATGCATCCCGCACCCACTTACCTTGCAGCCAGGCCTCTCCTTGTCGGCCCACGTCTTCTGCAGCCAGGCATTTCTCAGTCACAGGCCTTTCTGGAAGGCCTGTGCAGCTGAGAACTGAGCTATGGATTCAATCCATAGCTCGGTTCTGCAAAACCTCTGCAGTTGAGAACTGAGATATAGATTGAATCCATAGCTCGGTACTCAGCTGCATAGGCCTTCCGAAAAGGCCTAACTGCAAAATGCAGGCCAGAATGCAGCTGCAGAATGAAGCTCCTCCTTCAGCCCGAGAAACGGACTGCCTAGGCGAGGCTGTCAGTGCCAGAGGTGAGTAAGACATCCCCCGAAAATAAAACCTGATGCCTCTTTTGAAGGCAAAAAAATAATAATAAATAAGAACCGGTCTTATTTTCGGAAAAACATGGTAGTTGTTCTTCTCTGCACTTTTTCCAAAGTCTCAACATCTTTTTTATAATGTGGTGACCAAAACTGGATGCTGCATCTTTTTTAAAAGGAAATTTGTCCAGACTATTTTAAAAGTGTTATGGTAAATCCAATGTTCCATTTTCCTACAGTGGCTGAGAAGTATCTATAAATAAATAGACTATATCAGAGAGCTGTCCCCAGGTTAGGTAGTACTTACTGAGCATAATCTATTTTTTTAATATAAGCTGTTGTTAGTTACAAAGAATGTACTTAAGATGAGCGCTCAAGGAAAATTTCTAAATGAATAAGTAAGACAGTCCTTGTTTCAAGAGTCTTCTACTGAAGTAAGCTTCTGACAAGGCCCAAAATTTAAAGTATGATACCTCAAATCAGGAATGTGGTAGATCTTCCCAAGCTAACCTGATTTATTAAAGACATACAGTATCTTTCATGACTATATTCATTTAATGAGATGCATGGAGGGTGTAACTCTTCTGATGCCTCATGAAAGTAGAGCTGTTGCTTGCTTATGTTGCTCAACAGCATTAATGGATAACATATGAAGTAGCTGCAGTTGTACTAGGAAGTGATACCAATAAGAGAAACAACATATCATTTCCTAGCAGTGGACTACACAAGCTTTGATACACCTGGAAATTATCATAGGTACACTTGTAATGAAAAAGACACTGCTGTCTTTAACCAGCACTGTCCTTGGTCCTTTTGGGATAGTTCAATGGTTCTTGAGCATCCAGCTTATGCTGTTTTTTGAAGTGGGTGGCTGGATGAAGGCAAAGAATGGTAGGCATTACTCTTCCATACAACTGGACTGAAATAAAATAAGGAATACCCAAAGAAATCATAACAAACCTCTGCAGGTATTTCAGGAAAACCCCTTATTTGGGCTGTGTCATTTTTCCAATATTGCTAATATTCCAAAAGGTTATTTAGATGCTGTTTGCTAGAAATACAGCAAAAATATGCACAAACAACCATATTTAAATTCTGCAAATGAAAATTTCAAACTGTAACTTCAGTCATATTAGCCAAAGTGGGAGATATATGAATAGTACCATCTACAATTTTAAAAAATAGTAACAATATGGAACTGAAAAGTGAAGCCCAATTGCAATTATTTATCTTGGTTTTTAAATGTCAAGTCCAAATGCTCCTTTTTATACAAATGCTGATAAAAACAGTGATTCATTCAAGTCATCTGAATAGTTTATGTATAATGATAGTTTTTCTTTTTAAGTGCTATATAGAGATGCAAGGTTACAACTTAACTTGGAAAGCATATATTGTAATAGTTAAGCAAGGTAATCATGTGGGCAACTCCCTTAACAACTGTCATAACTTATAATTCTGGACTTAATTGTGGTTGAATGTTGAGGACTATCTGTATTAATAATATTTATCCTTCACAAAGAACTGAAAGTCTGTTTTTTCAAACATCATTCTGCTTAATAAGTTATGCTTAATAAGTTATGCTTAATAAGTATAAATTACTGTTCATACAATATAAACAACTCAGTGTACAAGCTAGGTATTCTGTACATAAGAATCTATCAACTTTCATAAATAGAAATAGAGTATGCGATTTTTGAGAAAATGAAATGCTTTAATGAGAAAAATATAGAAATGTTAAAAAAAAATCTAGTGATTTTTCAGGAAAACATTCTGCAAAACAAACAAATGAAGAATTAGGATACTCCAATGAATATTACGAAAACCATCCAGGGAACCAGATGGTACTTATATTTCTTGATGCACAAAAAGCTTTTGAAAACCTAAACTGGCAATTTATGTTTCAACAACTTCAAGAAATGGACTTCGGTGAGAATTTCAATAAAGCAATTCAAGTAATTTATAAGAAACAAACAGCAAGAATACTCTTATATGGAGACTATACAGATGGATTTGATATTTAAAAAGGTACTAGACAGGGATGTCCATTGTCCCTCTTGTTATTTATTCTTACTTTAGAGGTATTGGCTAGCAAGTTCTGTTTATCTGTTAGGATAAATTAAAGGATTGGAGATTAAAGACCAAAAATATAAATTACAGGCTTTTGTGGATGATTTGGTTTTTATTTTAAAGGAGCCACTGGAGACAGCCGATAAACTCTTGCAAAAAATAGAGAAATTTGGAGAAGTGGCTGGATTGAAACTAAATAGGGAAAAGATTAAGGTATTAACAAAAAACTTAACAGATAAACAGAACTTGCTAAAATGACAACTTGCTAAAATGACAACTTGCTAAAATGACAACTTGCTAAAATGACAAATTTGCAAATAGTTAAAAAAGTTAAATATTTGGGCATTTATTTAACTGCAAAACATACAACATTAAAAGAAGATAATTATGAGAGATTAATGAAAAAAATAAAAATAGACTTGGAAAAATGGGAAAATCTTCAACTATCACTGCTAGGAAGAATAGCAACTGTTAAGATGAATATTCTACCGAAGCTATCTTTCTATTTCAAACAGTTCCTGTTAAATTGAACAAGAAATTTTTTGACGACCTAAATGCAACAATACTAAGATTTATATGGCAAAAAAAAGAAGGCTAGAATCAAATGTAGACTCTTACAAGAAGCTAAAAACAGAGGGGGCTTTGGATTTCCAGATTGGAGACTTTACTATCAAGCAGCTACTCTGCTTTGGCTCAAAGAATGGATCGTATTGAGAAACAAAAGGTTGCTTTATTTAGAGGGACATGATCTTCAATTATGGTATGAGAAAACTAAAGCGCATAAATATTTTCAAAATCACGCCATAAGAAACGTATTACTTCCAGAATGGGAGAAAATTAGACATAAAATGTATATGAAAATACCAGAGTGGCTCTCAACAATGGAAGCATTTGCCTACCCAAACTTGATTAACTATGACAAGCTGGTTAGTTATAAAGATATTTTGGATAAAGATGAAAAACTTAAGGACAGGCAAACTCTTCAACAACAAGGTATAGACTAAACATGGTGGTCCTACCTGCAAATTCAAACAAGATACGAAAAAAAACATAAAATCAACAGGATTTTACAAAGAACAGAT